AAGAAGGGTATATGTACGCTTGATGTCTTTTTGATTCATGCATGTTATGTGTTATGTATTCCGGGGCAAGCCCGATGCCGGGGTAAGCCCGATGCAGAATTAGCTTATATGTTATGTGTACCGGACTTCGGTCCGATGCCGGGGCAAGCCCGAGGAAGTTTATTATGTTTATATGTTATATGCTTATGTGTTATGTGCTTGTTGCTATGATATGTATTCCGGACTTCAGTCCGATGCCGGGCGGGGCCTGATGCCGGATTAGTCCGATGACGGGCGGGTCCCGATGCAGTAGACAAGGCCCAGTATGTGTTATTATGTGTTATTGTATGGTATGTGGTAGTTTGGGGGAGCTCACTAAGCTTCGTGCTTACAGTTTTCAGTTTGGTTTCGGGTACTTCAGCTAGCAAAGGGAAGGGCTCGGGATGATCGCATGGCACACACCACAGTCTTCTGCCTGGGATATTTTAGACTCTGATATTTGATACATGATTTGATACAGTTTTCTGGTTATGATGTTTGAGATACATGACATGTGATTTTATTACGATGTTTTATGAGTTATGGGTTTTTCTTTAATGATTTAAAAACGAAATTTTTGGACTATATTTTTGGTATGTTACAAGTTGGTATCAGAGCCTTGGTTTGAAGGATTCGGGCACACTTTCAGGTGTGTCTGAACTCAAACTAAGGAATTGGTATATAAATTTTCAAAAGAAAAATCATTTTTATAAAAGTATTTGAGAAAAGAAAAAAAAAAGTTTTAGAAAAAGCAAATGAATTTTGAAAAAAAAGAAAAGGGTGTGGTGCATGCAATCAGCCGAGCTCAAGTAAGTACTCTTAAATTACCCATACAAGTTTATGTTATGATATGCTTATCAGCTTCATGAGAACTGCATGCTAGATTAGGACTAAGGATCTAGGAAGGATGCCTTATGTGCCTGTTATATGTGTATCAGCTTTATGAACTGCATGCTAGTACAGATTAGTTAGTATGATGGCCTTATTAGAATATGATTGATTATGTGTACTCAATGCTTGAATGCTGCTTATTTTGTGCTTTTAGGAGTTTTGGTTGTCTTTTACTAACTAGTAAACGAATATGTTAAGTTACATATTTCCAGGACTAAATAATTTCAAAAGGTTAGGTCTAGATCTATTTCGCAGCTCTTGTTTGAGTCCAACCGTTGTAGGGTAGGAACTCTCATTAGAAGAATTATCTAGTCTGAGTGATATGTAATAATATTCGCGAGCTAGTTAGGGGAAGAAAGCAGGGACTTCTTATGCAGCTGATGGCGGAGAGTGGGATGGTGATTACCCTAGGACAAGCCTAGGATAAGAGTAGCAGAGAGCAGTAGCAGTAGAAGGGACTTGGTGGAGTCAAGGCAGCTCTTGAGGAAAGTACGGATAGATGTGGAAGGTAGTATGGGCCCGTACAACTGAAAGCAGAGGATCCGTACTCGAATCAAGGAAGGATGAGATAAGACTAGGGAACTTGTAGTGTGTGAGATCCATCGAGTTTTGACGAGTATTATGATGATTATCATGGTATATTTTCGAGTATGGTGACGCTACGTGGTAGACCAGAAGGCAGTTCTGGTGTCGACGAGGGATCAGGCTCGGACTCTAGAGTCGGGCGGCTCGATGATCAGATGAGGGAGTTCATTCCATCTGAGGTTATGCACAGTATCACTTATCATATTCATGTGATCTTCAGTATGATCAAGGAGGGCATTTTAGAGATTTGTGATGAGAGGTTGAGTGCATTCTGCACTGAGATAGCAGACATGATAGGAGTGCGTACGTTGATGTTTCGGGAGTTCAGAGATTGTGAAGCTCCAGATTATCATGGGGCTAGGGACCCCATTACTAGCAACAGATGGTTGGCAGATGTCGCCAACGCTTTTCGTACCAGCCGTTGTCTCGAAAGGGGACAAGATCTGACTTACTTCCTGTCTCTTGAAGGACAGAGCACGTGATTGATGGGAAGAGGTTGGTAGTGAGCTGGGTGATGATGTAGTCGATGCTAGGTCATGGGATGACTTTTCGACTAGATTTTGGGCAGAGTTTGTCCATGCGATTGAGGTGCAACAGTTGGCGCAAGAGTTGTTAGACCTCCGCCAGACTACTGAGACTATGGCAGAGATCACTACCAAGTCTCAGGAGAGAGCTTAGTTGGTACCGCAGTATGCAGCAGTGAGGAAATAAAGAAGGTAAGGTATCATGACATACTGCAGAATGATAACAGGGAGATCGTGAGTAGCTCGGGGTGTGAGACCCTGAATGATATGACTTCTAGAGCTCGAGAACGAGATATTGACTTGGAGCGCATTGGGAAGAGGGAACCAGATCAGTTGCTTATATTGAAGGGTCTTGGGAGGAGACCCAAGATTTCAGATCAGCTTTTGAGAGGCCTGCAGGGTCAGATTCGGTGCAGCAATTTCGGGATTGGGAGAGTACAGTGTCATCTTGGTTTATTCCAAGACTGAGGAGCAGCACGAGGAGCATCTGAGGGAGGTGCTAGAGACTTTGAGGAGGGATAGACTTTTTGCAAGGTTCTCCAAATGTGAGTTCTGGTTGTGCGAGGTGCAATTCCTTGGGCACCCTGTCAACCAGAAGGGTATACTAGTCGATCCGACCAAGATAGAGGCTGTGATGCAATGGGAGATTGCGAGGTCTCCAACTGAGATTCAGAGTTTCCTAGGTCTAGTGGGTCATTACCGGAGATTTATTCAGGACTTCTCCAAGATTACAGTTCCTTTGACCCGACTGACCAAGAAGTCGGTGGCCTTTCGCTGAGGGCCTGAGCAGCACGCAGCCTTCGAGACTCTCAGACAGCGGTTGTGCGAGGCACCGATTCTCACCCTACCAGAGGGTGTAGATGAGTTCATGGTTTACTGTGACGCTTCGATCATGGGCATGGATGAGGTATTGATGCAGCGGGGTCACGTGATAGCATGCCTTAGGGAATCAGGTTGGGGATTCCAGTCAGGACATGAGTTCAGTTTGGGATGGTAGGTCGTGTGTATGCTCGATGTTGGATGTGTTCGGATTAGTAATCAACAGCCAGATAGTGTGAGAAAGTGTTGTAAGTCTGCGGGTGTAGCCGTAGCATTCACTAGCAGCAAGATAGTGTTAGAGTGTTGTAAGTCTACGGGTGTAGCCGTAGCATTCACTAGCAGCCAGATATTGTGAACGTGTTGTAAGTTTGCAAGTGTAGCCGTAGCATTCACTAGCAGCCAGATAGTGTTAGAGTGTTGTAAGTCTGCGGGTATAGCCGTAGCATTCACTAGCATCTAGATAGTGTGAGAAGGTGTTGTAAGTCTGTGGGTGTAGCCGTAGCATTCACTAGCAGCCAGATAGTGTTAGAGTGTTGTAAGACTGCGGGTGTAGCCGTAGCATTCACTAGCAGCCAGATAGTGCTAGAGTGTTGTAAGTCTACGGGTGTAGCCGTAGCGTTCACAAGGTTGGCAGATAGTGCTAGAGTATTGTGAGACTACGGGTGTAGCCGTAGCATTCACTAGGTTGGTAGATAGCATGGGAGTGTTGTTAGATCGCAGAAGGAATAGTGGTACCCACCATTTCGAGTGCAACAGTGAGGACGTGGCAAATCCACAGATTGGTTTACGGATTTCCCCAGATGAATTAGACCTGGTTGAGCCAGTGATGAGATCATAGGAACGCCACTATAGTTATGGGATCAAGGAAGCAATGGATAGCTTAAGGTCGTTGGTGATATAAGGCTACCATTGGTCATGTAGCAATCACTTTTAGCCTTGGATTGGTGATGTCAGGATTCGACGCATGGACCCGATCGGTTGGATCAGGAGGTTGTTAAAGCCACAATGCCAAGATAACTAGTGGTAATTATTGACAGAAGAGGATTTCGTGCAGAAGTCGTGTGAGGCGACTAAGTGGGAGTCCTTTGGCTCCGCAGCCAGGCCGAAACTCGGTATTTCAGATGACTGATGAATGAATTGAGACCAGGTAAGTCTCGATATATTTTGTAAAGCAGCCATGTGGCAGCATGCTATTTCAGGCAGTTCGGCGCTTCAGGCAGTTTCAGCGTTTGGGCAGTATTAATATTTGTGTTTTAGGGTGCAAGTACGGATGGAATAACAGATTGCTTGGGTTATGCTAATGACCTGCATGGATAATTGGGTTTGTGATTTCAGTTTTCCAGTGGGAACCTCGAGTTATAAGAAGTTGAGTGGTCAGTTGAGAGACAAACGGACTGGATTCAACGATAATGATTTAGTATGAGTGATCTGTCAGGGGGTCAAACCATCTTGAGACTACAGATTTCAAACTGGATGGAGGTGATCATGTTGCAAGGAATTCGTTCATCATCAGGTTTTAGAACCCTGCGAGGATTGGTTACGGTTGCTCGGGATTTTGGCCATGTTACTTGAGTGGTTTGGCATGTAAGGTATGGTAAGGCATGATTTTGAGGACAAAATCTAATTTAAGTGGGGGAGCGTTGTAACACCCCGTTTATTTAATAAATAAATAAACAAATTAATAAATGAATAATAGCCCTAAATGCGGAATAGTGTAGCAAGGAGTTAGATTTTTGGGGGCTAAGTGTAATTTCCGGATTAGTTTGTAAAGAATTTGGGGATTGAGGGTTGTTTGGTAAATTCTGGATTTAAATTGAAATAAAATCTTGAAAAGAGGGGTTGAATGGTAAATATTGGATTAAGGTTGAAAAGATTTTATGGAGGCAGGGGCTAAAGTGTAAGTTTTAGGTTTAATTTGGAAAAGATCCTATGGAAGGGGCCAGAATTGTTAATGTGCAAAAAGTTTGTATGGTTGCCGGCTTAAACCCGTCACCCTCCTATGAAGCCGGCATATATAAACATTGTGAAACCCTAACCCTAGCGGCCTTCTTCAGCCTCCACCCTCACATCGACCATCTCCAGTCGCCGCCGCTACTATAACGTCATGATTTTTTTAAAAAAAAATTTCATTTATTTTAAAATCTTTTAACGGAAAATGTAGCGGAAGACTGTAAACATCGTTTATTTCAAAAACATTTCAAACCACAACGTTAAGTTCAATTCAAAACCAAAATATCAAAAGTATTAAATTGTAGCGGAAGCATAAATATCAAAATTAAATAACGTGTCCAAGTGGCATCTTTATTCTAAGGATAAACTACCCAAAAGTGACCCCGCCTCACCAAGCCAAGCTCCTAAGCTACCTGTACCAATCGTAAAGGCACAAAGCAAAAAAACAAGTGTCAGCAAATGCTTCGTGAGCCAATAGGAGTTTGTACACAATCAAAGGGAAAACATACCATCCCCTAACGGGTCAATCATTCAAATTATAATCATATAAACAAAATTCACATATCAATCATTAATCAATCATCTTTCACATAAAATTCAATCATTCAATTTTGTATCATCAATTCACATATCGTTCATTTGTGTAACATCAATCGTATTTCATGCAAAATCGTATCATAATCATATATCATCATATTAAAGGAATGTATCATAATCGTATAGGCGTAGGTAGTCTCATGGTGATACCTAACCCCAAGGGAAAAACCCGTTTGCTACTTGTGTGTCTGGACAACCAAATGCTTTAGGTGGTTCGCGACTCCCACCCGTCACACCGACCCCAAGACTCCACTTTCACTACTCCGACTATGCAATGTACAAGTACATCGCGATGTCGTTCGGGATCGGTACAAACGGTGTCAATTCTATCGATACACCTCCCGATTCCCACGTGATGTTTGATCCGGCCTCGTTCGAATGGCCAACATCACTCCAGTCCGCAAACACCGAAGTGTACACGTACCATGTGTCGCACAGGCATCTAGAAAGACTGAGCAACTCGTAAAGGGCTTAAGCTCTTTTCCTAGGAGGTATTTTTCAACCAACCAGGCTCGAAGGTATCCGGATAGGATTTCATGCTAAGTGTTAGGTTCTACCCTTTGCCCTCTACGCATAACCCCGCATAATCGATCGTAAATCAAGTACAAGCATACAATATTCGTATTATCATAATCAAGATTCATAACATTTATACCAAGAAGATACTCAACCAAATTTACTAAGCATACAAAGGTCACAGAAGGCAAAACAATGACATATCTCATATTGCATATATTGGCATAATCAACAATTAAGAATATTCTAATTTGACTAACCGAGCCGTTTCCGGAAAGTAGTTTTCGATTATGTACAAGGTTTATGAAAAGTCTATCGACTCACCTTGGTGTATTAGTAACACAATTGCTCGTAGCTCCTCAAGTTACCAAAATACCTAAATATAACCAAGATTAAATATGGTTTAGGCTTTAAGACATTTAATATTAATTTTAACAATCCAAGATTTAAAATGACTTTGTAGCCTATAATATTACAACTCTTAATAGTCCTACGTATATCATATTCCTAATTTATTAAAGAACATTCCACTAAGAAACCAAAAGCAAGTGATCTCAATTCCATAGGCAATAAACGTACTTCAACGGATTTCTAATATCATTAGGATTAAAATAATATTTATGCCATTTATCGCATGGCTTCATGGAGACGTCGTTGTCCCGTACACCTTCTGATTTTCCATTACTAATTTATTATTCGCATATGTGATATTTACTTACCAAAACATACACATAATTAAATTACAAGTATTGTATCTCAACGTATTCCTGAAATGATAGGAAATAAGGTGGGATATTGGCAGCAAATTAACTTGTATACTAAAAAAAGATAAACCAGACGTATGTTTATTGGCAGTCCCTCATCTTGAAATCAAAAGAAAAGGAATAAAATAGAGAAGTACGTATGTTTTGACATAAGCTTTCTTCAAATAGAAGACGCTCATGGAGAACATCCCAAACACACCGATTCACACGCCTGGGTTTTTATCCCACCTGGATTTCTTCCGTGAGCAGGTAGCAAAAGGGAAGTCTTAGATATCTCGTTTAAGGATTAAAAGCATTGAGTTGACAGAAATTTCCAAGAACAGGGAAAGAGACGAAGGGCTACATGTAGTATTTTCGCAGCGAGATATAAGTCATGGATGAACAGGAAACATGAGAGGTTTGGGGATTAACTTACCAGTCGACGTCTTCTCGTTTTTTTTGTTCCGATCAATAAATCTCTTCCCGCTCCCTCTCGTTTCCTTCCTGTCGCAGATGTAGCAAAATTTTAGATCGTGATCGGTTTGCAGGAGTAGGTCGCCGGAAAAGTGAAAACGTAACCCTTGCCGGAACACGCACAAACCCACAGTTTCTCTCTGTTCACTCTCCCAATTGCCGCTGCGATGAAGCAACTCAACAAAGCGATCGTGCAACCCTTTTATTTAACCCACATCAGCCCAAATGAAACGAAACGAAACGGACGGAAGTGAAGGAACGCACGTAATTAAGTGCTTACATTCATCGGCTTTTTAATTGCAAAATTTCAACCTTAGTCCCTGGTCTTTGATTCTTATTTCAATAATAACCCTAACCATATTAAATAAGATTTTTTTTTCCTTTTTTTACAATCGTTTAATTAGATTAAATATAATTAGATTAAATAGAAAATAAAATAATCATCCTTTAATCATTTTGAATTATTAATTAAATCTCAATATTAATTAAATACTTTTATCATTTTAATTACTAATTAAATCCTAGTTAATCATTTAAATATTAATTAAATCTTTTAGATCGTAATTAATCTCCTTCTTGTTCACATTATTATATATTAAATATATAATCCTATGCGAAACACAAGTAGAACTTAATCCTATATAACGGAAGACTTACAAGTAGAACTTAATCCTATATAACGGAAGACTAACATCGTTAATAAGGAGATTTTTGGGTCGTTACAACTACAGTCACGAGTTCAGCCATCGTTCCTTTGCCCGCAACTTTGCCATCGAGCGCCACCGCCACAGCCGCTGTCGGAGATGTCGTGACCAGCAGAAAGAGAGAAACACCGAAGCCGGAGAGGGAAACGTAGAAGCTGATGCATGGGCCGCGAACGACCGGAGTACTATCGCCGATGTACCGTTTCCGTGAAGATAGGACCACCGCCGGACGGCGCGACTGTCGTTCCCAGCAACGTCGTTTGCTTCCGTTGCCGTCAACGAAGACCGAACTAGGCCCTTTTCTGTCGTTCCTACTGCTGCCATTAGCGAAGTCTCAACTCTTCTTCTCCATTGCTCCGGTGTGGCGCCGTAGTCACGACCACCGCCGCCCGTAGGGCTCGTTCTTGTTGCTCCGGCTAATAGCCGCCACCCCGAGGAAGGTTGTAGTGGACATTTCAGCTTCTGGGTCACATGTATGTGTATAATCTGATGTTGTTGTTTGTTGTGTTGGTGTGTCTCGGCCGGAAAAACCAAGAAACCCGCCATCACTACCGTGAGGTGGTGGTTGCCACCTTGTACCACCACCGGCCACCACAAGGGTGGTTGTGTGTCGTGTTTATTTTGGGTGATTTCGTTGTAAAATTGTAATCGTGACTAGAATAATAAAAAGAAACTCAAAACCACCACCGTAAGGTGGTGGCTGCCGCCTCCTGCCGTCACCAGTCGTCGTGTTGGGTGGCGGTGTGCTTTGCATGTGTTTGGATTACTTTTGGGATGCTTGGACTCGATTGGAATAGAACCCTAACCACCATCGTGAGGTGGTGGTCACCGCCGTGATCCGTCGTTGACCATCACAACCCGAGGTGGTCGTGGGTGGTGCCCGACTAGCGAAACCCTAATGGGCCAAATGAAACCCTAGTGGGCCTATTGAAACCCTAATTGATCTAAAGATTTATTTTTGGGCCTATTGAGCTATGATTGGGTTGGAAACCCTAATTAGGGTTTAGAAAATCCTAATTTTGGATATATGGGCCTTGGACTTATCAGGACCCGCTAATTGGGCCATTGGAATGGAATTGTGAATTGCACCCAATCACACCATATGATTTATCTAGTAGAATGATGGACTTAATGGATTAAGTCCTTCATGGGTTAAGTGAGAAACACTTAACCCTATTGGGCTAGAATATTTGGATTGGGCTTTAGGATAAGGCCCATTGGACAGGCTTGGGCCCAATTGGGAAAATTCAGCCATAAATGGGCCATAACTGGGCCTTGATGATTATGAGATATTGGACCTTGGTAATGCCAAGTGTTGGACCAAGAATAAATGGTTGGGCCTTAAGGCAAGACCATGTAGAGGTTTGGGCCCAATTTGGAAAATTGGGCCATAGTTGGGCCTTGGTTCATTATTAGACTTTTGGGCCTTTGGATTGGGCCTTGGACTTGAATCAAGCTAAGATAGAGGTAAAGTAGTCTTTTACCCCAAGCATGGACTTATGGATATGTGTTGGAACCCAATTATTAATTGGGTGTGATTTTGATGTTGACAGATTCGGGAATCTGTCATCCAGCAGCTAGGGTTTTGTCAGCGGGACTTCAACAGTGTGAGGTGAGTTTTCCTCCAGTAGGAACGGGTCGAAGGCACCAATGCCGCCCGTTTATGTATTTAGAGTATGTCGGGCTTCGGTCCGATGTCAGGGTTAGCCCGATGCAGATTGTATGTTTCCGGACTTCGGTCTGATGTCGGGGCGGTCCCGAGAAGGGTATATGTATGCTTGATGTCTTTGTGATTCATGCATGTTATGTGTTATGTATTCCGGAGCAAGCCCGATGCCAGGGTAACCCCGATGCAGAATTAGCTTATATGTTATGTGTACCGGACTTCGGTCTGATGTCGGGGCAAGCCTGAGGAAGTTTATTATGTTTATATGTTATATGCTTAAGTGTTATGTGCTTGATGCTATGATATGTATTCCAGACTTCAGTCCGATGCCGGGCGGGGCCCGATGCCGGACTTCGGTCCGATGCCAGGTGGGGCCTGATGCCGGATTAGTCCGATGCTGGGCGGGGCCCGATGCAGTGGGCAAGGCCCATTATATGTTATTATGTGTTATTGTATGGTATGTGGTAGTTTGGGGGAGCTCACTAAGCTTCGTGCTTACAGTTTTTAGTTTGGTTTCAGGTACTTCAGCTAGCAAAGGGAAGGGCTCGGGATGATCGCATGACACACACCACACTCTTCAGCCTAGGATATTTTAGACTCTGATATTTGATACATGATTTGATACAGTTTTCTGGTTATGATGTTTGAGATACGTGACATGTGATTTTATTATGATGTTTTATGAGTTATGGGTTTTTCTTTAATGATTTAAAAACGAAAATTTTGGACTATATTTTTGGTATGTTACACACACTCTTATGTTCTCCATTTCAGGACTTTTTAATAAATTTTATATGAGTGTAGGGTTTAATTTTTAAGATTTAAAAACTATATTTGGTTTCACTACAAGATTTAAGGACATAACATGCGACATATGTCGTCGCTAAATGTATCAAGAGTTGCCATAATTACCTTTAGTAGTGATATGTTGCAACTAATGTCTTGGATAATGCTTCGTTGGAACTCTCCTGTCCTTATATCTCTTGATATAGCTTGAAATTGATGTTTTGTATATAATACACTCACATAGTGTTGCGTTCACAACACTTCATCGTAAATAGTGTAACATCCCAAATTTCGAGGCCAAAAATTTCGTTTTTTGATTTAATATTTTGTAAAACATTTTACCAAAACATTACATCAAGTTATAAAAACCACAATGTCGTGTCCCAAACCATAACATCAGAAGTAATGAAAATCAGAGTACAAACCTAGAAACTCAATACGGAAACCATGTGTGTGCGACGCGCTGCTACACTGCCGGCTCCTTCCCCTTAGACGAAGAGGTACCTGAAACCAAAACTAAAACTGTAAGCATGAAGCTTAGTGAGTTCCTCCATCATACCACATACCATATAATATCATTGGTATCTTTGAACCGGTAACTGCCATCGATATCTTTCAACCGGTATCTGCCATCGGTATCTTTAAACCGGTAACCTCCATCGGTATCTTTCAACCGGTATCTGCCATCGGTATCTTTCAACCGGTAACTGGGGACTATTTAACCCCCTATCACTATCATGCAATAACAAGATATAATCATACAGTTAGACATACCTGGGTACTGACCTACCCTTCGATCCTAACGACCGATGTCAGGGAAAAACTATTCCCTGCCACTACAACTAACACACATAGCATATCATGCAGGCATATCTCATGACCGTATCACATAAACATACCAAGATAATTATCACAAAGATAATTATCTACTAAATACCCCTGTTGGTGAGCCGACATTGTGGCCTTAGACCCACCTCTACTGGAAGGTAACTCACCTCGATGTCGTGCAGTGTCTGAACTATCTTCGGCGTACAAGTCGACTACCCTCGACCCCTTGATCCCTACACGACAATGCTTCAAAGTTATTCATTTGAGTATGCAACCCTAACCGGGGTCATACCAAACCAGACAAAGTCAACACTGGTCAAAGTCAACACCCAGTTGACCTGACTCGCCGAGTTGTTCTACCAACTCGTCGAGTCCATACTCCACTAACCCGATCCAACCCCGACTTCACTCGTCGAGTCTAGCAAGAACTCGATGGGTTCTCCTTCATTCAAACCATCGGGACCATCTTCATCCGACTCACCGAGTTCTTCCTTGAACTCGGCGAGTTCATCTCCTTCATAAGAATGTGTCCGGTCTACGACTCGCCGAGTTGTATGAACAACTCGTTAAGTCCATCGGCAAAGATTGGGAGATTGCCTTGGACTCGCCGAGCCTGCTCATACACTCGTCGAGTCCCATGATTCCCAGGTCCCTTTTCGTGTCTAAACCTCCACGGGACTTCCTCCCTAACAACTGGTCCATCCACAAAAAGGATTTGGTGGTCAATCCACCGCGACTCACCGAGTCCCAAGAACAACTCGTCGAGTCCATCCTTGACCAACACTATACAGTCGATTTAAATGGGTCTTAACACACCAAAACCATAGATCTAGCCTCCTAATGTCCATTTTTCACGTAAAGTTCCAAACTTGGTACACATGGAAGGGGTCTTTGGCCCAAAAAGCCATAAAAGATGGCCTCCAAGGTGCATGGGGTGTTCATGGCAACAAAATGAACACCTTTGTGCCATAAAACCCCCCCAATAGACCTGGATCTAAAGCACACACACTGACTTCCAACACTAAATCCTGAATACAACCTCTCTAGGGCTTAGAAAGATGAAGGAAAAGGCCCAAAAATCAAGATCTATAGACAAAGGTTCCGCTTCATACCTCCAATAAGCTGAAAATGAGCTCTAACTCTGGATCTTCTTGTTTCCCCTTGGTCTCACAAGCTCCTTTCCTCTTCTCAAGCTTCACAACCCACCAAAAAGCACCAAAATGGCCTTAGAACACACAAAAACGGCTAGGGTTTCGATATACAGTTTCCTGGGAGTGATAAGGACGATGGAGGCTGAGATGAGATGTTTAAATAGGGTGCAAACCCTCGAATTTAGGGTTTCACTCAAACAACACCTACTCGCCGAGTCAGTCTCCCGACTCGTCGAGTAGGTCACTTAAACTTCCCACGGATCCCGACTCTACTCAACGAGTTGGACCACCAACTCGTCGAGTCCCAGAGAAAAATACATGAAATTCTTGAATTAAATACGTACCAGGAATCAGGTGTTACAAATCTCCCCCACTTATTTTAGACTTCGTCCTCGAAGTCTGCTGCTGAGTCCGGAAAAAGCTCGGGGTAGTGCTCCCTTATCTCGTCCTCCGGCTCCTAGGTCCATTCCGAGCCCTTGCGGTGCTGCCACTGCACCTTTACCAGCTCCACTCTCTTGTTCCTCAGATCCTTCGACTTCCTGTCAAGGATCGCCACTGGCCGCTCGATATAGTTCAGGCTATCATCCACTTGAATATCCTCTAAAGGTACCACTGCCGAATCGTCCACCAGACACTTCCGCAACTGGGAGACGTGAAAAGTGCTATGAATCTGACTGAGTTCGGATGGCAGGTCCAGCCTATATGCCACCTTGCGCACCCGGGCTACAACCCTGAAAGGTCCAATATACCTGGGGCCCAGCTTGCCCCCCTTCTTGAATCGGATGACGCCCTTCCAAGGCGACACCTTCAGGAGTACCATATCCCCGACCTGGAACTCCAGGTCCGATCGACGCTTGTCGGCATAACTTTTCTGCCAACTCTGAGCAGTCCGA